CCTGTTTGGCAGGAAGCCTGCTTCTCCCTGTCCCACTCCCGCTGCTTGTGTTCCTTCTCTTTCTGTGTATCTCTCTGTTAAATAAATAAATAAATAAACAAAATCTTTTAAAAAAATTTTTTTAAAATGGGCCAATTACTGTTCTCAGCTTTTTACATGTATTAACTCCTTTCATCCTCAGAATAACACCATGAGATATACACTGCTGTTGTTATTCTTACCTTTTAAAGTAACCCGAGGCACAGAGAAATTAGGCCCAGGCAAGATTTAAACCTTGGCACTCTATCTCCAGAGTTCTTCATGACTATTTTATAAAGCCTCACTTATAAACTCATAATTTCTTAACCTTATTAAAGTTTTAACTCAAGGGGGCTCCTGGGTGGCACAGTTGGTTAAGCAACTGCCTTCAGTTCAGGTTATGATCCCTGGGTCCTGGGATTGAGTCCCTCATCAGGCTCCCTGCTCAGTGCGAAGCCTGCTTTTCCCTCTTCCACTCTCCCTGCTTGTGCTCTCTCTCTCTGTGTCTCTGTCAAATAAGTAAATAAATATTACATAAATAAATAAATAAAGTTTTAGCTCAAACAAGAATCTAAAAAAGTCCAGGACAGAAACTTAAAAATAGATAGATCACACACAAACACAAACACATATATAAAAGATATACACACACTATGTAGATCAGATACAAAAGTTCATCAGGGTTTTAAAATGAAATACAGAGGCATCTATGGAATAATCATTCCCTTCTATTATTTATATAATGGCAGCATTCTTGTTATATAAATATGCACAATATAAAAAGAATATTACATAAAATCAAACTTTCCATAGTCTACATCAGTTTCATAATTTTGGGTGCTGAAACAAAGCTAATAAAGGTCAGGCTGTGAGTTTATTAAGTACTTAATTGACACCTAAGAAAACAGTGGTGCTGAAATCAGTTGGGAGGCAATTATCTGCTACAATGAGAGAAAATAAATGGTGATGAGAAAAAATTGTTAAAAAAAAAAGCCAAACACACATAAACTTTGCTGTAAAAGTATGATTTATATAAAATGAGAGTATTTTATCAGATCAGTTCTTTTCTTAAATTTCTTTCCCACAGTTCAACTCTCCTCACAGCAGAAATCAATTAATGATGGCCTACTACTTTATCAGTGGGCCTAAGAACAAGCTGGCAATTTTCCTGTTCCCTGAGATTGACTTTAATTATGTCTGGAGAAACAAAAGTAAAATTAGAAGCACACTATAATATGAATCATTATATCATGAAGTCAGAAATAATACAAAAGAAAGTCCTCAAAGCCTTTTTTATATCCAGCAAAAGCTGTAAGTTACATAATTAATCTGTCCACTGAAAAACTGGTTGCAATGAAAGTGAAATCCTGTTAATTTACACAGATTAACATCAGAAATGCAACAAAAATTGGATTTTTGTTTAAAGTTGTAATTTTGACTCAGAAATGCACAATGGCTTTGAAACATACACCTAAAAAAGAAAAAAAGAAAATGGATCTCTGATATAAATCAAGAAAACCTGTTTAATTTCACATATATAAAAATAGACTCATCATTTCTTAACCTTATTGAAGTTTTGGCTCAAGTAAGAAACTAAAAAACTTCAGAACAGAAACCCAAAAAGGAAGATTAAATATATGTAGTTAAACAATATATCATAAAATATATGAATGATTAATAATGGAAAAATAAAATTTTAGCCTGTAGTTTCAAAACTCTTCCCCACCAAAACTATTCTAAAGCTCTTTCTCTCTCTGTCCAATTACTTTCCATGGAAACATCCATAACATGTGCCACAGCACAAACTTATGTAATTTCAAAAATTGTTGTGAAAATTCAATAAGTCAATATTCATTAGGTACTTACCACCCTGAATGACACACAGTAAATAATCAATAAATGGTAATCTTATCATGACCTGTTAATAGCATCTTTCCTTTGCATAGCATTTCTTCATAGTAACTTCTTAAACTATACAAAAGCCGTAATAATTTACAGAATTCACACTGATTTCCAATAGTCCTGGATGTCTGTAAAATTTGACTAAAAACACAGAAAAAACTATGATGGTTCATCCAGCCAATTAATATCTTATCTCTGACTGTGGAAATAAAAGACATTGTAGGGCAATTGTGTTTATAAGTCCAGCTCAAAAAATTAATGTATAACAAATATTCCTATAATCCATTAATTTAACTAAACTTTTAAAAAAGTATTGATATTTTAAACTTGTTTTACCCATTTTCAATGTATTTTTATTTTAAAGATTTTATTTATTTATTTGACAGAGATCGTAAGTAGGCAGAAAGGCAGGCAGAGAGAGAGGGGGAAGCAGGCTCCATGCTGAGCAGAGAGCCCAATGTGAGACTTGATCCCAAGACCCTGGAATCATGACCTGAGCTGAAGGAAGAGGCTGTAACCCACTGAGCCACACAAGCACCCCTTTTCAATGTATTCTTAATTACAGCCTTTCAACTTTCAAAGGCATACTATTAAACACATAGTATATTCCACTACTCTGGAATCTAATCTAAAAATTTTTATTTTATCTCTACTTACGGCTAAATATAAAAGGTCAATATACAATTCCTATAATTTGGATTACTGGAATTCAAGAATAAGATTTTTTTTTAATGTATTTATTTGTTAGAGAGAGAGAGCGAGCACAGGCAGAGTGGCAGGCAGAGGCAGAGGGAGAAGCAGGCTCCGTACTGAGCAAGGAGCCCGATGTGGTACTCGATCCCAGGATGCTGGGATCATGACCTGAGCTGAAGGCAGCCGCTTAACCAACTGAGCTACCCAGGCATCCCAAGAATAAGATTTTTTAAATTTGCTTTGTAAAAGAAATAAATAGAATATAAATTAAATGAATGAGATTTGCCTTCCACAAAATAATCTTAAAAGAAAATTAGTAGGATACACGATGTTGATAAGGTCCCATTTCCTAAATATCCACCATGCGGGCTAATGAATCTAACAAGTCTTCATCAAAAACATTAAATGTAATAGATATAAAATAAATTGCAATCTGTAACATAGTGATCTACGGAGCCCGGAGAAAAGGGGTCAAAATAAAGACTCATTTTGCTTTGTTCTAAGAGAAAGGCCACAATAACTGGTTGGCTTAAGTATCCACAACCCTTGAAAAGTATTCTCTATGGAGGGAAGGAGTAATTCTTAAGCTTCTACCATAACTTTGATGATATATCATTCAAGACTCTCCAAGTTCCCTTTCTTTGATTTCATGATTACCACACCACCTCCATTTCCCATGTTCTTCAATACTGCACTGGATTTTTCAACCTGAAAATTCTGATCACTGGAAAGGGTTATCTTCTATTCCAACATAAACTGGCATTCTAATAGGTACATTCTAATGTGTACATCATTCTCATATTTAGTTTAGTTTGAGTGAGGTTACTGAAGCCTGAGCATATATGAGTAAATGTATAAATACGAGTTTCTTACACTGGAAATATGAGAACCAGACATTCCTTCTTACTGAGGACTGCTACAATCCTCTTGGTTTTCACTCCTCAGCCCTTGCACTATCCCTAAAATTTTTTTTTTTTTTATTTAAAAAAGGGGTGTGTGTGTCTACTGAAATAAAGTTAAACCAAATTAGGCAGATTCATTTAAACACCAAATGACTAATTAAAATCAAAATAACAACCTAGAACTGAAACCAAAACATAAGGATGTTTACACAAGCCTCATTTACATTTATTTTTATTTCCAAAAGACAAAAAAGAAATTTATAATCCTCGAATTGTGCTTTCAGACAACGAACAGAAATTATGTTTAAACTTGAATTATCCAGGCGACTGGGTGGCTCAGTCGTTAAGCGTCTGCCTTCGACTTAGGTCATGATCCCAGGGTCCCAGGATAGAGCCCCACATCGGGCTCTCTGCTCGGCAGGAAGCCTGCTTCTCCCTCACCCACTCCCCCTGCTTGTGTTCCCTCTCTCGCTGTGTCTCGGTCAAATAAATAAATAAAATCTTTTTAAAAAATAAATAAACTTGCATTATCCAGCAACATTATTTACAAAGTGGTTTGGCATGTGTAACTCAATTATCCTGACTCCACTTGCATTTAAACTGCATGAGAGACTTCAAATGATAACTCAGCCTTTTCTCAGTGGGTCATTATAAAGTAATTAATTGTGTTATTCCTTCAAAAAATATCTCTTCCACACTTCAAAGAATTCAGCCTCACGCCAGACACTCCAGCTCTTCAATTGTGTCCGTTTAAGTTTCATTAACAAGGAGAGAACGCTCACCAATAATTCACACTTCGCCTAAAACAAAGAAACGTCTATTATTAGCCCTAAATGTACAGGGCAGAATTCTCTTAGATCCCTGATGCCAAGAACTTCAACCGCAAGTGAAATTGTCTTTGCAATCTCAGTTTCCAGGAGACTGAAAGGCTGCAGAGACGCGCAAGTATTCTGCAGAGATGTTGGGGTGGCAAAGAGAACGGGAGGAAGGAAGGAGTAAGTCTCAGAGTGGAACTGCATTAGGAGACTTTGAGAACGTCTCAAAAAGACGTGGTAAGATACAGGAAAAATTGATTAAGTACGTTTTTAAAGAGAATTTAAAATGAAAGTAAGGAAAGATGAAAGAAAATCATTAACCTTCCACTACCAGAGGGTAAGCGAAGTAGGAAAAGGAAGCGGGGGAGGGCGGAATATAAGGGCCCCAAAGACCAGAATTTGGGGGGAGGGGGGAAGTACGCGAGCTCTGAGCTTGGCCTTGGTCCGAATCTCCAGTCAGTGTACGCGGACGGCAGGAGGGAAGGATCGCACTTACTCAGGGTTGCAAAAAGCAACGCATTTACAACGGTAACAAACCCTGCACAAGAAGATGTCGCCTCTCTCTCTGCTAGCTCCCGTGCATTTCTTTACCTCTTATGGAAGCACTAGCGTCACTCCGGCAAAACTCTGCCAAAGCCTGCGCCGCAGGAGGACAGCAAAAGGAAAATACCTGAGTCCCAGGAATCACGCCAGCAACGACAGGAGGAGGAGTCGTGGACCACTGGAATCGGGGCAGGATCCTCACTTGTCTTCAAACCCCAATCTTTTCGGGTGGGGCGGGGATGTTCCGCTCCGAGCGGAAACGTCACTTCCGCCTAGTGCCTTCACCCCTTTTCGCCTTCTCCGCTCTAGATACGTTCTCTACTTTCGTAATGTTCTCACTTCCTTTTCTAGGAGCCTGCTGCTTATTCGTAACACCGGACGTGGACTACATGACCCAGCATTCACCACGACACGTCGATTTCCGGGTTAAGAGGTCCGCGCTGGGTAGATCACCATGGAAGCCATCGGTTTGGTCACGTGGTGCCCCTGGTTACGCCCGCTGGCTGCTGTGGGGTCTAGGGCTCCGGCAGGGGCCATTTTGCCGAAGCCAGCCTCCTAAGGGAGACCTGGCAGCTAACTGAAGCTGTTCCTTTTCTTCCTCTGCAGCTTGGGGCTTGGAGAGGAACTGGAAGGCTGGGCTCCATCGAGCCCTTCAGAGACGATGGTTTCCTCCCGCCTCTGCCACCTGACGACCCTCCATGGCGGCTTTGCCCTCTGCGCTGCTGGGGCTGCCGCAACTTCCAGCCCTCTGTGCCTATCGCCTCCAGAGCTGCAATCGTCCTTCCGCCCCACAGACTGATGATAATCGAGGTGGAGGCACCATGAGAGGCGAGAAAAACTATTGCCGTGGAGCTGCCGGAGACCACAGTTCCTGCCCGCCGACACCTTCGCCTCTGGCCTCGACCCTCTTGATGCCCGCGGAGGCAATCACAAGTAGTTGGTCTGGGTCTGGAGGTGGTTTGTCTGGGGGAGATGAAGAGGAGACTCGGCTTCTTCAACTACTCCGGACCGCGCCAGATCCTTCCGAGGCCTTCCAGGCTTTGCAGGCTGCTTTGCCACGGCGAGGCGGTCGACTCGGCTTCCCCCGACGGAAGGAAGCATTGTATCGGGCCCTGGGCCGAGTGCTTGTGGAAGGAGGTAGTGATGAGAAGCGACTCTGCTTGCAACTCCTCTCGGACGTTATCCGGGGTCAAGGGGAGGCAGGCCAGCTGGAAGAGGCCTTTAGCTTAGCACTTCTGCCTCAGCTCGTTGTCTCCTTACGAGAAGAGAATCCAGCCCTACGGAAAGATGCACTACAGATCCTACATATATGCCTGAAACGTAGTTCTGGACAGGTGCTGAGAACACTTATACAGCAAGGACTGGAAAGCACGGATGCCCGGCTTCGAGCTGCCACAGCACTGCTGTTCCCTGTCTTGCTTACTCCTGAGGATTTGTTGTTCAACCTAGATCTCACTGAGGTAATAATATCCCTCGCCAGAAAGCTTGGCGATCAGGAGATAGAAGAAGAATCTGAGACTGCTTTCTCTGCACTTCAGCAAATTGGGGAACGACTTGGCCAAGAGAGATTTCAGTCCTATATCTCTCGCCTGCCATCTGCCCTGAGGAGACACTACAATCGCCGCCTGGAGTCCCAATTTGGAAGTCAGGTTCCTTATTATTTGGAACTTGAAGCCTCTGGATTTGCTGAAGATCCTCTCCCCTGTACAGTGACTCTTTCTAACAGCAATCTTAAATTTGGGATTATTCCTCAAGAGCTGCATTCAAGATTGTTAGATCAGGAAGACTATAAGAACCGGACTCAGGCCGTCGAGGAATTAAAACAGGTGATAGGAAGATTTAATCCTAGTTCTACCCCTCATTCCAGTCTTGTCGGTTTCATTAGCTTGCTGTATAATTTGTTAGATGATTCTAACTTCAAAGTGGTTCATGGCACACTTCAGGTCCTGCATTTACTGGTTATTCGCCTAGGACAGCAGGTACAGCAGTTCTTGGGACAAGTTATAGCAGCTTCTGTCAAAGTGCTGGCAGACAACAAGTTGGTAATCAAACAAGAATACATGAAGATCTTCCTCAAGCTGATGAAGGAAGTAGGTCCTCAACAGGTGCTTTGTTTACTCCTGGAACATCTCAAACATAAACATTCCAGAGTGAGAGAGGAGGTAGTGAACATTTGTATCTGCTCCCTCCTGACCTATCCCAGCGAGGATTTTGACTTACCCAAACTGTCTTTTAATCTTGCCCCCGCTCTTGTAGATAGCAAACGCAGGGTGCGTCAAGCAGCTCTTGAAGCGTTTGCTGTGTTGGCATCGTCAATGGGCTCAGGTAAAACTAGCATTCTTTTCAAAGCTGTGGATACTGTTGAACTTCAAGATAATGGAGATGGAGTGATGAATGCTGTGCAGGCCAGATTGGCTAGAAAAACCCTCCCAAGGTTAACAGAACAGGGATTTGTGGAATATGCAATGCTTATGCCATCATCTGCCCAGGGTAGGTCAAGCCATCTGGCACATGGAGCAGATACAGACTGGCTTTTGGCTGGTAACAGAACTCAGAGTGCACACTGTCACTGTGGAGACCACACAAGGGACAGCATGCAAATTTATGGATCTTACAGTCCAACTGTCTGTACCCGAAGGGTATTAAGTGCAGGAAAAGGAAAAAATAAATTACCATGGGAAAATGAACAGCCTGGAGTCTCGGGAGAAAACCAGACCTCCAATTCCAAGGACATAGAACAGGTATGCATTTTTGCTAATTGCCTTGAATTGAAACTAGAAAGAATTCAAAATGAACATAGGCCTGTAATGACTTAAGGGTGAGGCTGCTTTAGGATTGTTATGCTTTGTTTTTAATTTGGTTTGAATGGTGATGTGGATATCTATTATATAGATACAGATCACGTAGGAACATTTAATAGGCTTACTGCTTGATGGATTTCATTGAATTTGAGGCACAATATGATAGTGACAATACCTGGATTTCAGTTTTGGTCTGTCCATTTGCGATATCGATTATTTCATCCATAAATAAACCCTGAATATTTAGTACATGTCAGCTAAGTTCTATTAATGAAGATGAGCCTGGTTCCATGAAGTTTAGGGAAAATGTCAGACCTGTAAATGGACAGTATCAAGTTTGTTAAGGGCTGAGGTAGAAATATAAAGAGTCTACAGGAATATGAAAAGAGAAAAAATAATGTCACTAGAAAAGTTTAAAAAGTCTTCCAAGAAGATGTGACATCTGAACTGATTTTCTCCCAAATTTTTTATTTTGAAAATTGCAAATCTATAAATAACTTAAAAGAATTGTATAATGAATATCCATCTACTTTATTTATATTTACCAGATGTCATCTTGCCATGTGTGCTTCATATTTACTAAACCATTTGAACGCAAGTGCAGATATCTTGATATTTCATTCCTAAATATTTCCATATATATCGTCTAAGAATGGCATTTTACTTTATCACATTATTAACACACCTCAGAAAATCAATAGTAATTCATTAATATCTAATATATAGTCTGTATTTAAATTTCTCCAATTGTCCCTTAAAAAACGTTTTCTAGTAGTATTTGTTTTACTTTTATCATCCAGGTTCCAGTCAAGGTTCATGTAGTTAATTTGTCTCTTATCTAGAACAATATACCTACTTGTTTGTTTCTTTCATGACATTGACTTATTTGAAGAATTTGGGGTAGTTTTGTAGAATTGTCTACATTTCTTAATTTATCTGATTGTTTCTTTATGATTACATTCAAGATAAACACTTTTAGCAAAAATGTTACATAGGAGATGTTGTGAACTTAACAGGACATCACATCAGGAGCCATATAATATCAGGTTGTCCTGCTACTGGTGAGCTAAATTTTACTACTTGGTTAAGGTAGACACTCTATTGTAAAGTTTATCTTCCTCTTTATAATTAGCACATGATCTGCAGGATGATACTTTGAGACCCTATGAATAACCCAACAACCTTTCAGCCACTGTTGCTAACATCCAGTAATGATCCTTACCTATTCCATTTATTACATCAAGGGCTACAGAGAAACGGTATCTGTTTTTTTATTCTTACATTCTATATTTGTTATCTGGCATTCTTTTTTGTTCTGTATTAAATACACCAGTATTCCTTTTGATGCTAAAATTGGCTCAAAGTTGACCAGTGGCCGACTCTTATGTCCATTGAGGTGACTCTTTAGTCTTTGAACACTTCCTTTACTTAAACATACAGGATGTCCAGGCTTACCTTGTACCTTTCTTGTGCCAGACCTGAAATCAGCCATTTTTTCAAGAGCATTAAAACTGTTTTTTTAGTTAAGAGTAGAGTTTAAAAACCAAAGTCTACATATAAATGTACTCATTGCTATTGTTTACCATTGTGGATTGGTCCTGATTTCAGTGGATGAACCAGGGAGTACCTTTTTTTTTTTTTTTTTTTTCTTCCTTAAATCATACTGATACTTCTAATTCAAATCCAGCACCACAGGGTTTTTCCTCATCTTTCTTTCGTCCATATCTATACCTCCCTTCTCCCACAGTAAAACCCTGGTTTCCAGTGTCAGTCATACTCATATGCTGTATTCTTTAATTCACAAAAAAATAATTACTACAACAATAACATAATAACTAACTGCCTACTAAAGGTCAAGATTTCTTTGCAGGTCTTCTTCTGCTTGGAATTATTCCACAGAATTTTATTTTCAAACTCTTCTTAAATTAATTATTTTCTAGGTGATTATGATTTAAATGGTGTGATAAAAGATGAATAGAGTTTTGCTAAGTATGGGTGGATCCTAGTGATTTTCAGAGGGAGAGAATATCTTTATTCACTGGGAGGGTCACCTGGGTGGCTGAGTTGGTTAAGCATCTGCCTCAGGTCAGAGAGTCCCACATCAGGTTCCTTGCCCAGGCGGAGAAGGAGGCAGGGTGTGGGGGTAAGGCAAGGGGGTGCTGGAAGGGCTGTGTGTGTCTACTTTTCTCTCTCCTTCTGGCCCTCCCCTTCCATTCATGCTGTTTCTCTCATTCTCTCTCAAATAAATAAGTAAAATCTTAAAAAAAAACAAAAAGGGACTGCCTTATGAAAAGACTTAGAAAATTAGTAAGAAATGGTGAGTTTCTGCACAGCTGAAACTGTTTGGTAGGCAGTAATAGAAGATGATACTAGATACTTACATAATATAGTTATATGGTTATTCTCCTGTATTGTAAACATTACCTGGCAGTGAATA